ATTGTTTTTTTAACTTATATAAATTTTCAATATATACACTTGAAGAGTATTAATGGCATCATAGGTCGAATATTTCTATTTTTTGTGATATTTTATAACTCTATATTGATAAAATAATTATTCTTATATATTTTATTTTTATTTTATTTTTGTATAGTTGTGTATATTTTTAAACTTTTAAAAGGAGGTTATAATCTTTCCAACTTTTGTTTTATCATTAGTCTATAAACTTTTGTCTTTTTCTCTAATTTAAATATCATTCGTCTTTATATTTATTTTAATTGAAATTTTTATTCTATATGTATTATTTATTTATTTTATGGCTTATGTAATGTTTATATGTTATTTTTATATTAGCAAAATCACACTTATCAATATGACATTTTGTTGTCTTTAACTATTTAGATAAAATTTATAATTAAAAGAAAGTATTTTGTAATATAAAAAATATAGAAATATTACCTATTTTAATATAACGGTTTGTTTCCTTTTTCTTAATTAGTCCGTAATCTTTGTTTAGAATATATTCTTTATTTTATTTTAATTATTTTTGTTAATATTGGAAATATTACATAGTTTAGTAGAACGATTTTTGTTTTCTTTTTCTTAATTAGTCAATGATCCTTGTTTAGAATATATTCCTTATTTTTTTAAAAAAATTTTTGTGAATATTGACACATATCACAATTTAAATTAACAGTTATATATGTCACGATCTAGTGCTTAAGAATTTAGTCTACGTGTCAAGTTCTCAGCGTGCGCATTTTCTTTTATATAATAAGATATGTTCAAACATGTTATTGAACTGATTAATCCATAAGAATATGAGCTGACTCACAGGGGCTACTAAAAATCTATAATGCCTATTATCAATTTCTTGTTTGACCAATTATTAAGAAAATTGACCAATTATTCCAAGAAAATGTTATCTCCTACATATTTATTTTCGGCGTTATATTAAACAATTGATGACACTAAAATTAAATAATGTGCCAGGATATTTATTTATATTTATATAAAGAAATAAGAAAGCCGATTTACGTCTCTCACGGTAACTCTGTCGTTTTCCTCAGT